GCATTTGTCTTTGTAAACTCCCAACCTCACCCAAGACACTACACCTGATTATATCCGAGGTCTTTATTATGGCTAAAAGTCTCTAATCATTTCCCATGACCCAGGTCAAAAAGTAGCATTCAGACTGGCAACCTTTTTCAACACAGAGAGAAAGGACACAATTTTGCAGCCTTAGGGATAACCTCTGCCCTCTCACTTACCCTGTGCCAGCTATGATGGGAACTCGAGAACATAAGTTTGGAGACTTTTAATCTTCCCACTCCCTCCTCCGCCCATCCCATCTCCTTCCAACTTGCTCAGACAATAAGCCCAATGGCATCGAACACCCAGCCAGCGCCCATGAATGTCCAAGGAGAACAATGTCATGCCACACCTCCAGCTGTCACCTGTCTGAGCAGCCACATCTTGAGGCTCAGGAGCCATGGCCTGTGGAGAGGACCCCAACCTGAGATGTCCCCCACAGCCCACCTGCAGGTCCCCTGAACCCGTTACCTGAGTGAGCGAACGCGGCCGACGATGTCTTGGCCCAGCGTGGATGTTATCACTGGACATTTTGTTATGTAGCAGTCACTCTGCTCCAACCTCTCTACCCCTCTTTGAAATGTTCCGATTTCCAACCTGTAATTTGCCTTCTGGAAGTAGGGCGAAATTCACGTGAGCAAATGGAAGAGGAAAACACAGTGAATAGGCCACAATTATAGGTCAGTGACTATTTACAGCAAATATGATTAACGTCACTGACGAAAGCCAGGCAGTTCCCTCAGAAGACAGCTGAGAAGTGAGACTGAGGTGACAGGGACCCAGAGCCTGGGTCCTACCACCAGGAAAGCCCTCCGGGCTGGGGGTCGTTTATGGATTTCAGGAAGGCCAAACCTGGTCAGACAGAACGAGAGCTTGTGTCTGATTGTCTCACACTTCACATGCTCACACTTCATCTCCCTCGACCCTTGCAGATGTCTCGTAAGGTAAGCTCTCTTATTCCCGTTTTACAGATGAGGCCACTGAGGCTCAGGGTAGGTAAACGACAAAACCAAGATGCGGACGGGGTCGGAGGGGTGGGGGGTCAAAGGGAGGGTGACTGCAGAAAGGAAGAGAGAGAAGGAATGGGGCAGTTCCTGGAATTTCTTCCCCCCCTATAGACCTTCCCTCCCCCCCAGAGAAACTCTGGGCTGGGTCAGGGAGGGGAGGACAAAGAAATGAAGGAGAAAGGAAATAGAGGTGCAGAAGAAAGGAGAAGAGACAAGAAAAATACCAGGGGTCTGAGGGGAGGTCCGTACCCTCTCAGGAGCCAGGCAGTGGAATTTAAGGAATGACAGTGTCCAGGCAGCTGCGACCCTCTGGCCCCCAACCCAGGCCATCAGCTGCTGCCTGAATCTGAGCGGCTCCCTGACATCCTCCTCTGAAGGGCATAAGCCCACCCCTCAAACCCCAGCTCTGAAACCCGCTTCTCTGCGCCTTCCCTGGGTGGGGTCCAGGTCCCATGGGGTCTGAAGCTCATGCAATTTGGGGGAAGGGTCTCTTTAAGAAAAAGGATGCAAAAAGATCTTACATTTGCTAATTTTACAGTCATATGGTCTTGTGAAGACAGAAGGTGCCAGAGTGCAAATGAGAGGCCCTGAAGCTTATGCTCCATCGCTCAAGGTCAGTCAGCCTCTGCAAATCCAGCCACATTCTTTAGTCACTTCCTGAAGCATGGACTAAGCACCTACTGTGTGCCAGGCCCTAAGGCAAACACTGGAGGTGTGCCTCACCCAACAAAGACACTCTAGATCTAGCGGAAGATGGATGTGTGAGCAGATATGGTATGCATCAGAGTTGCAGGTGCCGTGATAGAAGCAGGTACAATGCACGGAGGAGGAGTGAGCCACTATCAGGAAGCCTGCCTGGAGGAGGTGAGCTGCGTTAACACACCTAGTGGGCTTTTGAGATCTGTGTCCCTAAATTCTGAGAGGGCGGAGCCTGGGTCTCAAGCCTCTCTTCTGTCTCTTTCAGCTCTGTTTCTACAGAGGAATAATGGCACAGTGCCTCCTTTCTTAACGTCAGTGCTCAGGCTTAGCTCTCATCAAGTATCCCTACAGGAAATAGTTCCCCAAACCATCTCTTTCTACATGAAGCAGGCCAAGTGTAGGGCTCAAAAAAGGAGGTCACCATTGGGATCAGGATGCAGGAAGTAGTCACCTTTGGAAGGAAAAGAATCCAGGTGGTCGAAGGCCCTCCGGGACCCCATGATGAGAAAGGACAAAAACGTGGGTAGCTGAGGCTACTTCCTCTTCGAGGTCAGAGATCTCAGACACCCAGATATAAGTGAAGGGTTGCTCTGCCTAGAAGCCCCTTACCTGTAGTAGATAAAAATAGCAGTAACAGGAAGAGGTCTGGAAAGGTGTACACCAACAGGAAACCCCATCAGTTTTACCTTCGAAATATATCTCGAATGCCACCCCGTGTCCCCACTCTGGGCCGTGGCCCTGGTTCCTGCGGCCGCCTCCTCTCTTGTCTTCCTCCCTTACCCTTAATTGTCTTTACTCCACGCAGCAGCCAGCGGGATCCCTTTGAAAACTAAGCCGGATCATGTGCTTCCTCTGCTCAAACCTCCCCATTTTTCACTCCGAGGAAGAGCCGAAGTCCTTGCAAGCCACACGTGATTTCGCTCCTCGCTTTCCTGACATCCTCTCCCACTTCTTCACCTCCCTCCCTCTGCTCCAGCCACGCTGGCCGCCCTGCTACTTCTCAGGCATGTCAGGCGCAGTGCTGCTTCGGGGCCTTTGCACTGGCTGTGCCTCCTGCCTGGACCTGCCTTCACGGAGCTCTCTACATGGAGCTTCCCATCCATCAAGTCTTCAGGCAAATGTTATCTTCTCGATGAGGCCCACCCTCTTCTCGCCCGTATCCGATCCCCTTCCTTCCTTTTCTGTAGCACTTACTACCCGTCTAATTTACTTGTGTATTATATTTGTTGCTGTGTCCCCCCCCCCACCCAAATGTCCACTCCATTGGGGCCAGGAGTGTCTGTTTTGCTCATCACTGCCTCCTCGTGCCTAGCGCGGAGTGTCAGGCATAGAACAGGTTCAATAAACGTTTGCCGAGTGAGTGAACTAGAAAGAGGAACATCTCTGTGTAGAAAGACTCTGGGTAATTCTTATTATCTTCTTCGGATTTTTCTCTAGTTTCCATCATTATCTTGTATTGCTTTTGTCGTGATTTTTTTTTTCTTTAAGTCGTTTTTAAAAGCTCCCGGTTTCATTTGCAAATTCTTGTCTCAGCTGTGCATTTGATGGGAGATAAAAAATGCCATTTCAGAAGACATCTCTGGAAGCCTTTCTGTGGGGGAGTCTCTAGTGACATGCTTTCGTTTTTAAAGCACGCAGTTTCCACCTCTATCTTTAGCAAGAGATCAAGGCCGGGCCTCTGGCAGAGGGAGGCTCTGAAAGGTAGGAGATCACTGGGGAAATAAAGTGTCTAAGCCTGGATGTGCAAATTGACCTGGATCCTTTTAGTTTTGCATTCACGTTTGCACTTTGTAAATATTTGCCTGGCATCCCGCTGCTCACACCTGCTTGCTGTCCCCTCAAGTTTATGGAAGGCAGCAGGCACCGTCATTTCTCCATCCCCACCTGGCGCTGACAGTGCTGCCGCCTGAAATGAAAACTCTCTCCCGCGAAAGCCACAGGTGTCTCTGACAGCGCCTAAAACTAATGGCCTGTGGCTGGCCGCTGTGACTAATTCTCTGATTATTGACTTTATGATTTTACGCTTAAAACTTCTTTATAATAACACACAGAAATGTTTAATGGGCTCTATCCAGAGCCATAAAAATTACTTATTGAACAAGCGTTTTTAAACTATTAATCTATTGTTTTCCATTAATAATGGCTCTCCGAAGAACAGGCGACAGCTTAATGTATCCACAGCGTTTCTCCTCGAAAAGTGGCCTTTTAATACAGAAACGCCATTCCCCAGGCGTCATGTGTCAGCTGGCCATTGGGCAGCTGACCTTCCCAGGACAGATTTAGGCCCCACAAGTCCCAGAAGGTGATTTAAGAGTTTCCAGAATAGACGGCGGCTCTGGGAGATTTTTTCTAGTCTCTGAGACAGATCGGAAAGCCCCTCTCTTCCATTTCTCTCTTTCTGTGCAAAAAAGAAGAGGAAGTCCCGGGGCCTGTCCTGCAGAGCCCAAGATGGAGAACAGAGAGAAGAAGGCGATTTACACCTCTCCCTACTCTGCACCCTTCGGAAGGTTCCAGGTACTCCCCCGGTGGTCACCTTCCCCTTCTCACTTTATATGTTGGCAAGCACCATAGCCGAAAGTTTCCCGTGGTACTATGCCCTCGTTTCTTGTTATTTGAGGTGTGCAATTCCCCCGTCAAGCATGAGGTGGCGTCCCACTTCACGTGGGTAAGAATCGCCACTTCGGTCTCACATTCACTTCTTTTCCTGGGTGGTTTACGGTTTGGAGCATGTCGACACAGATGGACACTTCTTCTAGGGTCTCAGGCTGTTCGTTCATGCAACAAATATTTATTGAGCGTCTACTACATATGAGGCGGTGTTCTTTGTTCTGGAGAGAAAACAATAAACCGGGAACTCAGGGGCCTTGCCCTCCCAGATCTACCTTCTGTAGAGGAGTGCAGATGACAAGCAGGTAAATAGTCATAGAGCATCATTTTAAGTAGTGACGAGTGCTGAGGAGCAAACAGGATGAGATCGTGACTTAGGATGGGAGGAGATTACTTTAGAGAGTGGGGAAGGCTTCTTGGAGAGGTGGCCTTTGAGCAGAGATCTGAGTGACAAGAAGGAACCAGCCAGAGACATAGGGGAAGAGCATTCCAGGCAGGGGAAAGGCAGGGCAAAGGCCCTGGGGGTAAGGTATACGTATGGGCATCTCTCCCTAGGTGGAGGCTCTACCCGGCCAACCACTGTGCAGGATTCTGCTCAGACTCTGCCTCAACCCTCCACGTGGCTCCTAGGAATCCACAGGGCCATGTAGACTGAGAAGCACTTGTCTGTCAAACAAGAAGATACTTCTAAAAGGAAGAAAGGTTTTCTCCTCCCAGCCCTGCTTCAATGGAATGGTGAGGAAGGGACACATAGGAGTCACATTGTCACAACTTTGCTCCGTGCAGAGGTCACAGTTCACGGAACACAGAGGAGAAGTCTTACCATGGGGCTTCTAAAACTTCAGTGTGCCTGCAAATCACCGGGCCGGTGGGGGTAGGGAGTGGCTTTTTAAAATACAGATTCTGATTCAGTAGGTCCAAGGTGGGGTCTGAAATGCAATAATTCTAACAAGCTACTTGGAGTAGCCAGGTCCTAGAGGTCACTAAATCCAAACACTGGGTTTTACAGAGGGAGATAGAGAGCAATTTGATTTAACGTTAAGTGAGTCACAGCACCTGGCTTTGAATCCCACCCCTGTTCTGTGTGTGTATAGTCCTGTTGCTTAGTTTCAGTTTCTTCCTGTGAATTGACTGTATGATGGTGATGGTGGTAATGATGATAATGGTGCTGATGATGGTGATGATGGTGGTGGTGATAATGATGATTGATGGTGGCAGTGGTGGTGATTGATGGTGGTGGTGATGGTGGTGTTGGTGGTGGTGATGGTGGTGATGGCGATGGTGGTGATAGTGGCGGTGGTGGTGATGGTGGTGATTGATGGTGGTGATGGTGATGGTGGTGGAGATGATTAGGATAATGGTGGTAATGAGGACAATGATGGTGCCGGTGGTGACAGGACTTCACTGGGAGGATGTAAGTCTTGAATGAGTTAATGCATACAATATTCTTTATAGAGTGCTCATCACAGAGATTGTACCTAAAGATGACAGCTCTTATCATGATAATTACTGTCCCCCAAAGATGAAAGGACTTGTCCATGGTCATAGAGCATCAGAATCAGATGCCTAAACATCCCCACCATCATTTTCCAGCTCATCACATAGTCAAACAAATTAGAGTGTCAGAGAAATCAAATAAATGTGAGAACGCACCTGACCCTGAATCAATGCTGAACTCAATGTCATTTTCCTCTGCTGGTATGAGAGGTACATCGGACTCCTGACAGGCTTCAGGGTCACCATCGTGGACGCAGCCTCCCATTGTCTGGGAGAGCCAGCGGAGAGAATGGGGGCTCCGGGCTGACCCTGCATAGCACAGACATGTGATAACCACGTGCAGTTTAAAAGACATGACTAGGCCCTGGGTAGGAACTTGTTTACTCATAAAAGTGGAACAGGGGCAAACCAGGGCATCCTTGGAGCTTTGCAGCTCAGCTGAGGACTCCAGGTAGAGGGTACAACCTATGACAGGCCAGAGATAAGAGGCAGTGTCCAGGTGACACTTACCCCTACCTCTGCTCACTCTACCTCTAATCCTGTCTCCAGGTGGCAGCCATGAAGCTTCTTAAAATGTAAATGAGATCATGTCGATTCCTTCTCAGAAGACTTCAGTGGCTCCTGGCAGCCCTTGGAATAAAATCCAAACACATCCACAGCCCACTCAGCCCCGCCCGCCTCTCTGCCATCTTCCAACACCACACTCCGACCAAGCTGGTCTTTTCCCACCTCAGGGCCTCTGCACATGCTGTTCCCCATTCCGCACAGGACTGGCTCCTCTTCATCCAGCAGACCTCAAGCTTCAGTGTCGCCCCCTCCGAGAGACACTCCCGGACCAGCCGCACCTCTTCTTCACCCCGGGCTTGTGTTTGTGTCCTTCCCGGCCACATCGCTGTTGGAAATTACGTTATCTAGTGGTGCGTGACAGTTCTACACATTTCTTCCACCTGAGTGAAGATAAGCACAGGTAAGCTTGTCTCCCACGCAAGCGAAGATGAGCTCAGGGAGGGCAGGGGCCGTGTCTGTCTTGTGCACACTACTCCCAAGGCCCTGCCATTGACCTGTGCATCACACAGTAGCTGCTCAGTAAATATCTGTCCAGTAAATGGCTATGGCTGGGTCCCAGCAGGCCCAGGAGAGGGGGAATGATGGAAGTAATGACCTGGTGATTTATCTATTTCCTTTCTCCCCCAACACATAAGTTATAAGCTCCATAAAGAGACATAAATTGTGTCTAACTTATTCACCACAGCACTGCCCAACACCACACATGACCCATGCCTGGCATCCAAAGACACCCGATAAATGTGTGCGAAATAGGTTTTTCTCACGAGTACACTGGAGTTCTCGACAAGTACACAGGAACAAGAATGTCACGTGAGATAGTTTGGCCGCAGTAAGTGGAATCTTGCTGGATATGACGTAGTTTCCCAAATGGAGCCCTGCCCGGGCCTCCCTCATGACATAGAGTAGATAGAGATCTTGAATATACTCTAGATAGGACTTCTATGAAAACCAGAAAAATGAGAAGATGGAAAAATCTTATCTCCTGGGTTAATTTCGCTTTCGATAGAGACATTACAGCTGCTAGGAAGGACACAAGATACACAGGGCCCTAGAGTCAGACCATCGGGGTTCAGACTCGAGATCTGGCTATGTAACCTGGGACAAGTCATTCGACCTCTCCAAGATGCCTTTGCCTCCTCTGCAAAATTGGCACCTGTGCAGTAAAGGATGAACCTGGCCTGTAGAGAGGTTTGGCCCTCTGCCCCCAGCTCTTAGGAGGCAAATTCTAAGCCCGTGGAATATTTCACATGATAAGTGTCTCTGTTTACCTGGGGGCCTTGGGCCACACCAGCTAGTCTATGACAACAATGTGATTTACAGCCTTGAACTATGTGGTATCACCTCAACCTCTGGAGCGGCTGGAGTCTAAGGTCAGCCATGCCTATGTGCCTGATCCCCAGTAAAAACTCAGGACACTGAGGCTCAGGCGAGCTTTTCTGGTGGGCAGTACTTCATATAGAGACATGCATCACAGAACGATGATTTGGTTCAACGACAAACCGCATATGACAGTGGTCCCAGAAGATTATAATGGAGCCGACAAATTCCTATCACCTAGCAGTGTTGAAGCCATCGTAACATCATAGTGCAATGCACGTTACTCACGTGTTTGTGGTGGTGCTTGTGTAAACAAGCCTACTGCACTACCAGTCATACGAAAGAATAGCACATAGTACTCAGTGATACTTAATGCATAATAATAATACATAATACTTGATCATAAATCTTACTGGTTCGTGTATTTACTATGTTATAATTTTATTGTTATTTTAGAGTATACTCTTTCTACTTATTAAAAAAAAAGTTTGTTACGTCAGCAGCAGCCTCATACAGCTCATGTTTACTGCGCTTCTCGATTGTATCACTTCTTGCTTGATTTAATCTCGTGTTGTTTTTTACAGTGACGTGCTGTCCAGGTTTGCTGCCTGAAAGCATTAGGCTACACCATCCAGCCTAGGCGTGCCGCCGGCCGTATGCTCGAGGTTTCTGTGAGCGCGCTCTGTGACGTTCGCACCACAACAGAATCACATAACGACGCATTTCTCAGAACGCAGCCCGCCGTGAAGCAGAGCACGTCTGTGTGTTGTCACACATCATTGCTGGGCGAAGTTAGCACTCTGTGTGACTCCGCCGTGGAAGGACACCTAGCAGCTTGCCCCTGGACCTCTGCTCGATTCAGCTCTATGTACCTCTTCCCTTGGCTGATTTTAATCTGCATCTTCTCACTGTAATGAACCATAACCGTGAATATAATGGCTTTCCTGAGTTCTATGAGCCTTTCTAATGAATTATCATTAGAGAGTGGTCTTGAAAA